CCACACCCACGGTGCGCCATTACTAGTTTTGAAAAAAAATTGAAATTTTTTTTAAATTTTTTTTGAAAAAAACTTAGTAATGGCGCACGAGTGGACAATGCGCCATTACTAGTTAAAACTAGTAATGGTGCATTATCCACAGTGCGCCATTACTAACAATTTTTTTTTCTTTTTTTTCAAAACTACTAATGGCGCACGGTGGGTGTGGTGCGCCATTACTATGTCAACTAGTAATGGCGCACCACTCCCACGGTGCGTCATTAGTAGTTTTGAAAAAAATACTAATGGCGCACCGTGGGATGTGGTGCGCCATTAGTATTTGCACACTAATGGCGCACCAACACATGGGGCACCATTAGTATTTAGTAATGGCGCACCACATGTATAGTGCGCCATTAGTGTCCATCCCATCTATAGCCCTTTTCCTAGTAGTGATTGGCAGAAGTGGCATCCACATTGATTGGATACATTGAAGATTTGTGGTAGTTAATCTGCAAACCAGTTGCCAGGGAGAAAGAGTTTAGAATAGATTTAAGCACCTCCAACTGAACAGAATCAACAGACACAAACAACAGTGTATCATCAGCATACTGAACCACTGGGTAGTCAGGATCATGAGTTACTAGGGGTAAAGAGAGAAGTCCTTTACTGAGATGATCATTAATCATAGTCTGCAACAGATCAGCAGCAATCACAAATAGCAAAGGTGAGATAGGATCACCTTGCTTTACCCCACACTTACACTTAAAATGGTTTCCTGGAACCCCATTGAGCAAGATTGAAGAGGTTGCCGAGGACAACAATTGCTGTATCCAGGATATCCATTTATTATCAAAACCCTTTGCCACCAAGATCTTTATAATTGCCTCATGCTGTATGGAATCAAAAGCTTTTTCAAAATCCAGCTTGAGTAACATGATTGGCTTTTTTGACTGATTGCACTGATGAATGTACTCAAATGTCCATGCAATACAATCCTGAATGGTTCTTGATTTGATAAAACCATATTGATTCTTATGAACACATTTGGTTATTTCATCTTGAAACCTGTTAGCAGCAAGTTTAGTGAGGAATTTTAACCCCACATCTGTCAAAGAAATTGGCCTAAAATCACCAGCAGTTTCAGGTGACAACTTCTTAGGGATCAGAGTTATGTAGGCCTCACTGAGATTCTCGAGCTTAGCAGTTCCAGCATGAAACTCATTGACCAGAGCGATAAAATTACCAGAAAAGATTGGCCAACACTTCTTCGTGAAAAGGCCATTAAATCCATCTGGTCCAGGAGCCTTGTCAATGGACAATTCCTTGATAACCTGCTCAATTTCCTTGACCTCAAATGGCTTAGTGAGAACATCCAGTCCCTGCAACCTAGGGATAATAGAAAGGATGTCACTACCCAAGAAAATTGGTTTCACTGTTCCCATTCTGCCCTTAAAAATCTCCAGAAATTCCTTTGCAATTTTGTCATGGTCTGTAGAAACTGTTCCATCTGACAACTGAAGAGTGGCAATGGAATTTTTTCTATATCTCTCAGTTGTCATTGCTTGGAAGAATTTTGAGTTTTCCTCACCCACTTTGATATATCTAATACTGCATCTCTTCTTCCAATATAAGAATTGCAGATGGAGAAGATGATCATGGTGCAACTTCACCAATTTTCTGAAATTGAATTCAGTTAAGAAAAGAGGCCTGGAGTCTTCCAAATCATCTAACTAGAAAATCACCCAGTTACACTTCTCAATCAGAATTTTAATATGTGACAAACCCTTCTGCCATTTCTTAAGAGCAAATCTCAAAGATTTGAGTTTGTCCATAATAATTGCTGATATGTGAGCTTTGGGAGTATGTTTTTGCCACACCTGTTGAACACACTCCATAAAACCAGGTTGATGGACTCAATAGTTTTCAAATCTGAAAATGTGAGCTTTTGGGATGCTGGTGCATATTGAAACCACACATGGAACATGATCTGATGCAGTTTTGGCAAGAGGAGTGACCTGAGTATTTGGGTAGTGATCGATCCAACTGGCAGAGGTAAAAAACCAGTCCAACTGCTCGAGAAGAGGGAAATCCTGCATATTAGACCACGTGAACCTTCTTCCCTTTAGAGGTAACTAGTAAAGTGGCCCGCCCGATGTGCGGGCTAGATTTTATAAAATTTTATTAGAAGTATTTCTGTTTTGTTTTTTGTAAAGAAAATTCGAACCAAATTTGCTCACATTTATAAAGATGCGCCCTTTGCAATCATAACTTTGTGTTAGGTTGTTTGGTTTTCTCATTGATATATAGATATAACGTATTATGCAGTTCATGTATCTGCTTGACCGGGTCCTATGTTTAACCTTGTCTTTCTAATTGACTATGAATGTCTCAATGAACTTTATTTTATTTTTTGAATTTGGTATATGAAGTAAATGGGAATTTACGTGTATATATATACACTAATTTGATTTTGTTAGGGCATCTTCAAAGGAGACCTCAAAGCTCTGTTATATGACTGGATTGTGGTGTCTAGATCGTTTGTATCAACTTTTATTATTCAGTGGGGACCTCCATCAGTCTGCAAAATGGTCCGGACGTTCGTTTTCCGGCAAATCCGGGACAAACGTAGGAGCTATTCCGGTGTCCGGACATCCGCTTGACTAACAAAAAACCACCATATAGTCCTTATCTCTTTTCTCTCTCCATGCATGCATGGTCCCCTCTCCTCTCTCTTCTCTCAACCGAACAAATAAAAATTAGTTTATGAAAACGGTTGAATGGCTCTTTTTCATATCATGTCCGCAGACCATGTTGGAACATAGTAACAGACTATACCGAAGTCATTTGCGTGTCGGCTTTGAAGATGCCCTTACTTCCTCCTTCCATGTATATATGGGGTAATGCGTTTTTCAAGGCTAACTTCGACCACAGGTTAGATCAATAATATATGACATGCAATTTACACAAAGCACACCATCAAATTTGTACATGGAAAGAACTTCTAATGATATAATTTTCACATTATAAATTTCATATATTATTAATATTATTAATAGTCAAAGGCAACCTCGAAAAATGTATTTTATATATATATGAAAGGAGGGAGTAGCTTTTGTTATTATTTCATGGACATTGATTGAGGTAATTTATTAAAACACGTACTACACCAGATGACCAGAAGCAGGACTGGCATCGGGCTATCTTCTCACCTACTCCACACTATCAACACGTATTCATTTTCTTCTTTCTCTAGTCTTCTGGTCTTTTCGGAGCTCCCAGCCATGGAAAGGAGCAAAAGGCTGAGCCAGATTAGATCCACTCCATCTCAAGACAAGCCCGAGTCTCCCCTCGGTTTGCTACTTTGTGGTCCTCACCTCCACACGCACCTCGTGGCTGGGATGATGCTTGGATCCCGGCCGGTGAACACGTAGCAGGGACCTAATAGCAGCTGCGTGATGGAGAACGCGAGGTCGTCGAACTCGACGATGCCTTTCCCGTCAGCGTCCATGGAGGCGATGGAGTGGATCTCGTTCCCTTAGCTCCTGCGCAATTTTGGGGATCCTGGGAGGGTTATCCGTCCCCAACCGTCGAGCTGCAGGCGTCGTTGCTGTTCCCAAGCGAGGCACCTGACGCATCTTCTTCATCCTCTACAGTAGCAGCCCGGCTTTGGCGTTGCATTCTTCCACCTGCAATATACTTTAAGGTACTTCTTGTTAGTGACAAATGTTACCGTTTCTGTTTTTTGTACTATCATGCATACTTGGTGTGATTTCCATCCAGATTGACTTCTTGTCCATGTACCAAATGAAGATAGTAAGTTCTGGACGCCTAACGCCGCTTAATGCAAAATTTTAATCAGTTTATGTCCCCTCCACTTTTTTCGGGTTTGGGACTGGAATAGGTAGTGTTAGACCCCCTACACCCATTAATTTTCAGCAAATTAAGGAAATAATTATTGTCTTTATGTTTTAGTAATTGAATAGTAAAATTAGGTCTGATTGCTACATATAATAGATAATGATGCTAGGATCCTCTCACCATTGAATTGTACTTTGTAATAAGCTTGAAATATCAGATGATATAGAGTGTTGATGCTTGGCATTCTTGAACTATTTCCGTCAAATGTTGATGCATGTTTCCAGTAATTATGCAGAGTAGTAGACCATATCCGTCCTATCATATCTTGTTAGCATAGATAATTCAGTTATTATTTTGAAGATAGTTTGCAGTGTACTATTTTTTCAGGTATTTATGGATATATAAAAGGCTGGTAGCATCCGTCTAGTTCACGGCGATGGACATGGCCTCTGCACCGGCGAACATTCAAGCCAATACCCATCTAGTTCGTATGTATGCAAGTAGCGCCACATTTAATAAATCTTTGTTTCTGTCTGACCAAAGAGGGCAGGCCTGGCGCAGTGGTGAAGTCCTCCCCACTTGTGCCAAGAGGTCCTGGGTTCGAACCAGCCTCTCTGCATTGCACTTTGCAGGGGTAAGACTAGGTTCCTATAATCCCTCCCCAGACCCCACCTTGTGTGGGAGCTTCTATGCACTGGGTCTGTCCTTTTTCTGTCTGACCAAATCCTTTGGTTTGTATTGATCAGTGTATACATGTCCTTGCCCTGAGTGCATGTACCACTCTTATATTGTAAATTCCCAAAGAGACAATTGATGACGGCACCTTAGATTACAAATTGATAATGTACAATTAGTTAAGTGAAATCGGTTCTGGCTCTCCATGTTTCATGGGGTGAAGCACAATATGTGTAAAGCCCTATCGAGTTTTACCATCTGAGCCACTTAGTACTGCGATACAGTGGAGATTCCAGCAATCCTACAGTCCGTGGATACTGCTATTCAGTAGGTTAATAGCGTGCCCCCCTTTTTAAAAAACCATTTTATTTGTTTTTAGTAACTTTATTCCTTTTTGTAATATATTTTGAGCTCTTCTTTAGATAGCTAATTCTTGGTCTCATTTATTTGCTGTTTCTATGAGTGTTTGTCCTCATATTTAGGTGAAAATCCGAGTTGAAGAGGCGTGGGTCTATCATAAGGACCTGGTGATTTTCAGGAATGGATATGCGGATCATACATGTTACGAATCTACATAACCTACCGAGTATGCCTCTTTTTCGATTCTATTGTCGCCATAAAGAAAAGCCTCCTTTTTCAATTCTTTGTGAAATTAAAAAATAAGTGCATATGAGAAAGGATGGTGTAATATCAATATAATTTGCATAATTAAATGTTAAGATGAGAACGACTAAACATTCAGTGTCTCCAAACTGGATAAGTCTGCATGCACACATAGTAAGTTAAATCCATGTTCTCATGGACTCTTAAAGTAAACACAATTGTATGCTAATGCAGACTACTTCCATGTTCTCATGGCTTGAAGGGGAGCCTTGGCGCAGTGGTAAAGCTGCTGCCTTGTGACCATGAGGTCATGGGTTCAAGTCCTGGAATAAGCCTCTTACAGAAATGTAGGGAAAGGGTGCGTACTATAGACCCAAAGTGGTCGGACCCTTCCCTGGACCCTGCGCAAGCGGGAGCTACATGCACCAGGTTGCCCTTTTTTGCAGCCAAGGGGATTAAGTTTGTAGTTTAGCACTTGCTAATGCGTCATCCTAGCCTGTGTTCCTTCCAGGTGCTTTCCTAATCCTCTTGTCTTCTGTTGATTCTTTTCTCTTATTTTTGCATTCTGTCCTTTTATTTTTCGTTTTTTCCTTTAGATTTTGAATCCATTCTCACTAAAAGTTGAATGTGAATAATATACTTTCCCTGCTAGGCAAACTTTAATAGAAAACTAATTGTGTTTATAGATGCATATGTGGCATTATAGCACCAAGCTGTTGGTGCATGTCCGTTCAAACATAAAAAAAGAACCTTCTTTCTTAGCTGAGAATACCTCGTCATTGGTACCATCAATGCTAAAATGGTCATGATTTTTGTCATGTCCTGCCAGTAAGGTAAGGTAGAATACCATATAGTTTAAAATATAAAATTGGACATTTGTTTTTCTTAAAACAAAAATTTAAAGTTTTGACATGTGTAAATTATTTTTGCAGGTACATGCATTTATTGGGTCCAATAATCACCCTGGTTATCGATAAACGATTAGAAACATTGGATTTGGGGTATTGCAAAAATAGTTTAAAGTTCTCACCTTTGATACTTGAATAAAATTGGAAGTGACAGTCATGATTGTTTTTTGTGCCAAACTTCCATTTACCATATTTGCTAAAATATATCCCCGTAGAGTGATCCCTACCTTCTCACCACTGAAAGAATTTGACCATGTAAAAGTAATGTAAAAAGTCATACATAATTCTGAAATTGCTTACATAATTGAAATAACTTACAATAGCAAAAGGACTTGCATCTCGCAGATGTTTGAAGTTTGCTCTCTGCTTGTCCGTCTGTTCTTCTGTACTTCCTCAATTGGTTTCATCATGGTAAGCAACCCAATCCATTGATCCATGATTAGTAACGAATTCATCAATGCCATATACAGGAACCGTGCAAATTATCTGAATTGGTGCAGGTGATACATGCTGGAGATAATTTGATGCACATATTACTTACTGGAGGTGGTGTGATTGCTTGACGGAGCCGATAACAGTCGAGGAGAGTCAACAGAGGAAACTGGGGCACTTGCAACTATTGGAGGAAGGTGATGTCCAAGTGCCGATCGCTGGAGGAAGACGATGACGAAGGTGGGCTCTGAAGGTGGGATCCGACTTGTGGGGCGTGCTGAAACTGACTTGATGCTAGCTTGTCAGCTAGTTTCATCGCCCTGGCACCATTGCTAACGTGATTGCCAGAGTTCATAAATCACAACATTACCTTCTCGCGGTATCGCCTCGCCCTGATTGCTCAAGGTAGTAGCCGCCTGCCTGGGACAACAAATCAATCTAAAGTTAGACTTTGTTCCCTTGGTGTTTTGGCAGCAAAATATCATCAACCTCTTGGTTGTGATGCTTTAATTGTAAGTTACACTGCATATGTAGAGGCAACCTTCCATTATTAATCTATAATTATAATAGTAACTTTGCACATAGTTCTTTTGGCCCGAGACAGCTATCTAAAGAGATTTCTCAAAAGAAAAAAAAACATTTGTAAAGAACCGAATCAAACTGGCAAAGCATATATAGATCTCAATTGGCTGGACTCGCATGCAAATAAGAGCGGCGTGCACGTAGTATTTTTGGCCAGTGGAAACCCATTGAAGCTAATCGGCCAGTGGAAACCCATCAACTGGACATGCATGTACAAAAAACAACTGGATTGATCTTTGACACCGGCTAGAAACGCACATAGTTAGGAAACAGAATAAAATCAATCCTTAGCTAGCCATGATGATGGCGCCGCTCAAGAGCCCGGATAGAAATCGCCAAACACGTACCTAGGGTAGATCTCGATGGGAAATTCCTGGGTTGTCTTCCTGGTAGGATCGTGTCAAGGCGGCTGGCGGCTGCTAGAAAAATTCCTACGATGTTGAGGCAGCCTTTGATCCTAACAGAGCGTTGGGGGTTGGATAGAGCACGTATGTACGGTAAAAATTACTTTGGACTCTATCTTTCATGGCATTGGTGGGTAATTTCTTCATCTTTAGAGTTATAATTAATCTAGCGGTTGTGGTTTTTCGATCTATTAAACTAATGGTCGGATATTCCTAATTATTGTGGGATTTTCTAGCCTATTTCTCTTTTTTCTGACGAGGCCGTAATGTACTTTTTATATATAAATAGATTCGAGCAGACCCAAATGACCTATAATCTCATTAAAAATAAAAGTATCATTGATATCACCACCCGGAAGATTTCTATTATCAAGAGATCGTATGAAGTTAAAATCTCCCAGCAAAAGCCAATTCTGCTCAGGTTCCACTTTTAAATTATAAAGCCAACTGACAAATTCATCCCTCAAGACGCCTTGACAGGGTCGATAAACATTAACCAAGTACCATTTGTCATCATTATGCACAGACTTGAAACTAATCACAATCCCGTAAGGTTTAGCTTCAATTAAAGTCCCTGAGAAAACATCTGAACGCCACACAGCTAAAATACCGCCAGAAGCTCCCCTTGAAAGAGATTCGATAAACTGATCAAAACCCACAGGACAAATGCTCTTAATTAAATTACGAGGGCACTCCGAGAGCTTAGTCTCCTGCAGACACACAACTGCACATTGGCTTTCAATTACTTTCTGCCTAACCGCACGCTACCTTGCTTCAGAATTCAATCCACGGACATTCCAACAAAGAACCTTCCTGCTACGCATTGACATTCGATTCATGGGATAATATATAAGAACACAGCAAAACCAGTGTGACACCTAGTACCACACAACCCAGACCATATAACACCGAAAGTGCCAAGTCACAACCAGAGTGCAAAAGTTCAGAGAGAACATAACAGACAACAAATTTGACAGGCTCGCTACACCTAGATAAAACATTAAACTTTAACATTGAAACACTGCTGGAGGAGGAGGAGTCCTTAGGATTAGCCATAAGCTTCTCCCGAGATAGCAGCTTAGGATCCATCTACAGCTCAGCTCCAATTGCCTGTAGCACCACGAGCAGCATCGGCGGAGGGACCTCTTCAGATTTGTCGTTGCCCACATCGTCAGTGTTGTTCATGCCATCAGCTGCTTTCGGATTGGGCCTGGACCTGGGGCGTCTTTTAGCTGGCTGAAGTGGAAGCTGCTCAAAAACCACCGGTTTGAAACCATCCAACTTTGCCGCGCTTCTCTTACACCTTCTAACTGAAGTGTCAACCAAGGGAGCAGATATCTTCCGTCTACCACGCTGGCTTTTCTGTTGCGTTTTAGATTCAGACGCGACAACCACAGGAGAGGAAACCTCCTCCTGGCCAGAAAGCCCCACAGTCCCAGAATCCATAGTCATCATATCATCAGAAATCAGCCCTTCAGACTCAACAGCAATAGAAGGTCCTTCACTTGAGCCAGAAAATCTAGTGGCAGACAGATCACCAAATAAGGAGCGAGCAACAGGGCGTCTAGTGACAGTTGAAACATTGCTAGGCTGAGTACTTGGCAAACAAGGGACCAACATAGACATCCGCTGAGAATCATTAAACGCAATCGACCACTTACGCTTGGAATAGGTGACTGTCCCCAATGGCTTGAAGAAGATGGACCTGGGCACCTCTTTCACTGAAAAGTCAAACATCAAATTCTCAAAAGAACGCTTCCAGAGCAATTCAGGCGGAAGAGGGGGCCCAGCCACAATCCGAGCCATCCCAATGAAGATCTAATGGTGCTGAATAACCGGTGGTTGATAGGGGACAATAGCCAAAGGGTTTTCCACCTCAATTGCAGGTTGTTCCTGAACTTGATCAACCAGATCGATCAGTGGTGGATGCTGCGGCTCAACATCCTGCAGAAGCTGCTCAACAGACTCAGATTGCTCAGGTTGATCAATGACAATGGAGACTTGATCTTGTTCTGGCACGGCAGGCTGAGGTGGCTGATTATTGTCCTCACCATCTCCCCAATGAGCATTACCCCAATCAGCATCCACAGGGTTATCAGGAGGGGGAGCAGGTGCAAGTGGCGCGTCATTCCATCCAA